CTGAACCGGAGTACAAAGTACCTGAAGCCCACCAATTTACAGATAGACATATAAACCTCATTCAAAACCCCTCAAGTTTATCACAACAGCTTTTGTGAGATCTGTATTATTGGGCCTTTACCTTTAATTGCAGGTCACTCGTAGAGAATCACTACTTTATCCTCCCAAAGGGGATTTCTTCCTTTAGGCTTTAACTGCTAAACTACCCCTATTCAAATAGGAGCATAAATCCAGCCACTAGGCTGGGTGGTCTGCAGCACATTTCTTCCCTTTCGAACCAAGTACATATATGGCAACTTAATTAGCATAGCTTTGTACAACTATTTTCTCATATGAAGGTGGAAAGGACTATACACAGCAACAGCCAAGTATTTTGCAGTGTACACATAATCAGCTTTAGAAATTAAAAATACTTAGCACAGGGATAGCTTTTTGTATTCTTGGCTTGTATACAAAAAACCCTGAATTCCTCAGAATTGTGGCAATTGTCATGCCTGCAACTTTCTGCCTGCCAGAGAAAGGCAAATTCACTCTAAAAAATAAAGATCCTTTAGACTCTTTCAAAGGGAGAAAAGATCACCAGTTCTACTGGCCCAATAAAACTGATGCAATAAACCACTGTATCAAAGCACTAACCTTTAGGCTCTCCTCCTCCATTAGGAGAAAGGTTTGTCCAGAAGATGGTGTGATTGATATGACCCCCACCATTGAACTTCAGTGCAGGCTGAAGTGACACCTGAGCTGTAACATCACCTAAGGATACAGAAGATAAAAATACACAGATAAATAAAAACATCATCATCACCACAGTAGTCACTAAGTTGCCACTAAGCCTCCATAGATCTCCAAAATCTTTCAAGTCTTACTAGCCTGTAACATGCCTATGGAAAAGATAAGGTTGGTGACTGTCATCCATATTTTAGACAGTCACTGACAAACTAGATTAAAGATTTCTTTTCTTGCACCTCTTCTTATCCTGTAATATGTGATCTGCCAATATTGCACTTACCAGGCAACCCATACTACATATTTAAGATCTACCACCATTCCACAGCAGAATAAAGCAACTAGTACAGCCAGAAAATTTTAAGGACCCAGTAGTTGTAAATGATCCAGTATTACCACTATAAGACAAGAACACTGCTCACCCATTAGCTCACTGATTTGGAAACTAAGAATTTTTAAACTTCTTGAACAATTTACAGGGCAAACAGTTTGTGCTTCAGAGAAAGCTGATGAGGACAGTCAGCACGTACACCAACAAAATGTTCTTCTTCCTCCTATGTTTTGTTTGGTTTTGTTTTTTTGGAGGGAGGTACTTGCAGGAAGAGATAGCGACGACACACGATTTTACTCCACATGACAGAACCTTGGACCTGAAATCAAGATCAGACAGCTCCCATACTTCCTCCCTCTCCACATGTCACATTCCTTAAAGAATTCACTGGTGCCTTGTGCCTCTACACGGTGTTGCACCACTTCAAGACAAGTGTTCTGAATGATATTTTGGCTTTTAGAAGAATTTAAACATTTCAAAGGTTTTTGAAGCTTTTTCCACCAGCCCAATACATTCTCTAATAAGGAATCAGTGGAGGCAGCTATTTCCTCCCCTCTCAGAATGAGTGGTAGAAGTCTTCCTACAGAAATAAGTCATCTTAACACAAACATGAAGGCAAACAACAAAGCAGTAGCACACCTGCTACTAAGGTTTTAAAACAGGATTCCAGGTTCTCAGCATCTGGTCCTAATAGAATCCTAGAATCATTTAGGTCAGAAAAGCCCTTTAAGATCAAGTCCAACCATAAACGTGACATTGCCCAGCCCACCACTAAACCGTATCCCTAAGTGTCATGTCTACACATCTTTTAAACACCTCCAGGGATGGTGACTATCTCCTCATATCCTTCAGAAACCACAACAGCCTTGGTAAGCTTTGCACAAATAAAACATCTGGATGAAGCTGTTCCAGTATGACTGGAACAGCTCACACATGTCCCCCAAAAACATAGAATTCAATGCTTTGCTAAAATGAATTACAGCACCGCTCAATCACATGCCTATGGCTTTTTGGTTTTGCTGAAAATCGTCACTGATACGGTAATGAGTTTCCTTTAGATGCAGAAACTAAAGAGTTTTCTATAAACTTTTCTTAAGAATGTCATCCTTACGCAAATTCACTTTGACATGCAATATGGTTTGTATTTTTTCCCATTCAGAAAAATATCTGTAAGTTAAAAAATAGTCTGTGACTAATGCAATCTCTCCATCTCCAGTTCTAATACTACTCAGAGCAACAAAACCAGGTGGGTACAGGAATGAAACAAAGCATCCGATGCAGTTAGTACAAACACTATTTGCTGAATTCAGGTATCAAGCAAGTTAAGGATGAGAGACCTCTCATGCCCATTCGAATTGCATCTTCAGGACATTTTCCTTTAATTTTGCATGCCTTAATGACACTTTTAAGTTCATCCAGTGCATACAACTTATCATAACCCAGTTATCGAAAGACATCCTGGGTTATTTTTGATGCCTATCACTGTTTATTCCACCATTCCTTAGAGGAATCTATTTCCCAGGACCACTAGAAACCAGAGATGGCATTTGACCACTGTCCTTAAAAGACAGTATCTGTGG